TTTAACATATGAAAGTTAGGAGAATATAAAAGTTGAAGGTAAGAAACAGATTCTGTAGTAAACACAAGAATATTCTATTTAGATAGAAATTCTTTGAAAGAATAATAAGTAGGGGTGTGTGTTTGGATCTACCCAAACTGAAAATTTACCTGAAAAATACTGTATTTGTATTTTCTCAGGAAAACTGGGGGGGGGGGGAAATACCCCCCAAAATCCCGATATATTCAGACATTACTGGTAGATCTGGAAACAGAGGAGAGGCGGGAGCAATATGCTCTCAACTTTTTTGGGGGGGTTGTATTTTTTGATATTGTGTTTGTGTCTGTGCATGTGTCTGCACCTGGAAGTCATGTTGACTGGGGGCCTGGAGGATATTCAGAGAGGTGGCTGAATAAAGGCTGCCTCTGTTCTCCTGACTTGGTATTCCATGGAAGTCTCCCATCCCAGTACTAACCACAGTCGACCTTGCTTAGCTTCCGAGATCTGACAAGATCGAGCTTGTCTGGGCTATCCAGGTCAGGGCCTGCCATTCAACTGTATATTGGGCTTCTACTGCAGTCCCTTTAAAGTTTAAATGGACTACAGAAGACAGCCCAAGGATCAGGATTGGCTATGCCAGAGGAAGCAGACTGTTCTTGCTGGCTTAGTTTGGGGCTGGCTTCTAATGCAGCTCGGTTTAAACCAGGCTGCAGGAGAAGCCATCCCAACCAAGATCTGTGTGCTTCAGGGAGAGATCTCCCCGCGGCATGCAGATCCTGGGTCTGGCTCCTTCTGCAGTGCGATTTAAACCAGGCTGCAGGAGAAGCAAAGCCAGCCCCAGGATCGGGCTGACTTTAAAAATACAGCATTTTTCTTCTCGGGTCGATTGGACCTGAAAAAATTAAAGAAAAATCCCAAATCTGAATATTGCACCAGTATTGGCATCCAGGATTTCTTGGAAATACCGAAATTTTTTAGAGTCCAATAGACCCAAAGTGAAAAATACCAATTCTTTAAAAAATTGCACACCCCTAATCAGGGGTTGTTTGGGGCCAGAGTGCCACTCTAGGAGCCCAGGAGCAGGCACAAATAGCGGTGGCAGCAACCCCTGCCCTTGCCCCCAAGCTCCTTCTCTCTAGAGTCACGCCGGCTGGGAAAGCAAAATGGGGGGCATATTCAAAAGCCTCCCCTTCCCCAGCCGGCCTGCCAAAAAGGGCTGGGGAGGGTGGAAGCAAAGAGAGAAGGAGTTTAAACTTTAAATCGCTTCTCTCTTCACTTACCCTCCCCAGTCCGCCTTGGCAGGCCGGCTGGGGAAGGGGAGGCTTTTGAAGATGCCTCCCCCCCTTTTTGTTTCCCCTTCTGACATCACTTCCGGTGATATCAGGGGGCATGGCATATGGTAATGAGCTATTATGCTAATAGCGTATTAGGTATGCTAATGAGCTCCTGCAGCTCTTTTTCTACAAAATGACCCCTGTCCCTATTCATAATAGGTAAGACTAGTACCATTCAAATAGCGATAATATTGAGACTAAACTACGGTTAATATACTCTACATAGGTGTCCCCTCAAAGTCACTTTGGAGACTCTAGCTGGGGCAGAATGCTGCAGCTCAGTTATTATCAGGAGCCAGACAGAGCATGGATATTACTCCCATCCTGCAGTCACATCATTGGTTGTCCATTAGTTACTGTGGTAAGAAATTTTAGAAATATAGAAGGTTTGGGTTTAAAATGAACCAAATAGTTTATGAAATCCATATATATCTGTCTCTGCCCTTGCTAGCAAACAGGCTAGTCCTTTTTTCACTGAAGATGTAACACATTCCATTCCCAGGAAATTCCCAGGAAATCTCCACAGATGTGAGATTTGCCAATACCCCCAATTTCCTAGGCAATAAAATCTGTGGCCATTTGGGCAGCTGGCAGACTTCAATCCAAAAGACAGTCTAACTTCCTGAGGTACAGGAGTTCACACACCCCATCTCAGCAAACATCAAAGGACAGTTTATTTCCCATGATTGGGGAACACCTGGAAGAAAACAATGACACTGTATTGATCCTGTAAAATGTGTACACTTTTGTTGTGTAAGACCAAGGAAAGGATGCAAATTTCCTGCAAGACAATTTCAACTTCTAAATGTTAATTTACAACTGTAATTTGATTATTGAGGGACCCCTTTGATCTTTGGTATAAATACTGGTCAGATCCAACAGACTCTCGCTGACTCTTGGTAGGAGTCAGTCCGAGAGGCCTCTCGTTCTCTCTGCATGCCTTGGGTGGGGGGAAACTTTGTTTGCATGTTTATTCTTCTATGCATTTACTATCAATGTTTAGGAAATAGGATTCAAGTGTTTTTCTATAATAAAGATAAGTTCTATTTTAAGAAGAGACCTTTCTGTGTCAGCGCTTAGTGGTTTCCAAACTTGCACCTTTCGCCTTTGGTAAGGAGGCATCACTCAGGAGACACACGAACTGAGGGGAGAGTGTGGGTGGTAAACACGCTTTCACAGACACGTGCAGCCACACACATTTTTCTTACAACAGTTACCAGGCTCAGTTTAAGGTACTGGCTATCACATACAAAGCCCTTCATGGCCTTGGTCCTTCATATCTACGAAGCCACCTCTCCATCTGTGCTCCACCATGACACATTCACACATCTGAGCAGGGCCACTCTGCAAATCGAACAACTGCAAAATCAACAACAGCCTGCACATGTGCATTCTTTTTTGTGGCCCCCACCCTATGGAATGATCTGCCTGAAGACTCCCACCCTCCTAGTTTTCTGCAATCTCTGCAAAGCTGAATTATTAAAGAGGGCACAGGAAACAGGGCTGTAATATAACTATATGGTTCAGATTGAAGTTCGGGGTTAAAGGGTTAGGGACTGTAGACTATATCACCGTGTATAGTTTGTGCGATCTGTTCTTGTAAGGAGATTCCTACTATGTAATTTTTTGCTTTCGATTATAGTTTCATATTATGATGTGCTTCACCTCTGTTTAATTTCCGGATTTCTATAAATCAAATCTATTTCATTTTCTATTGGTTATCTTACCCTATTTGATTATATTGACTTATTCTGTGTAATCCCCCTTGAGTCTCAGAGAGACTGATAGACTATAAATAATATTAGTTTAAAAATAGTAAATGTTTGAATATTAGCTTAACTTAATTAAATTGAACTGTGCATTATCATTAAACTCATTATACCATATTAATTGTTGCCAAAATTATTTACATAAATCTTAAAAATACTGTATATGTCTAGAGTATAAGAGATTTTTCAGTTCTCACCCACATTTCCTAATCTTTTCTTCTGTTGGAAAAGGTGAGAAAGACCTCAGCTCTTTTCATGCTGTACATTTGGAATGAGTGAAATGTTTTGCAGTCTTAAGAAACATTTCATTAATTCTAATAGATAAAATATTTCATAAGAGGTTTTTCATTGCTGTCCCGATGTTTCCATTTTTAATCCCAAAAACTGAGAAAATCCTTGGGGGGGGGCAGAATGGGAAAAAAGTTTTGCCCCCAGTTTCCCCTTGCCTTCACATCTGTAATCCTTTCTGTCTTTCTTCCTGTTAAGCCTGGAACTGCTGTGTCACCTTTCACTTCCTTTGAATCCCTCCTCCACCACCCTCCTTTGTCATGATGCCTTCAGCGCAACCACCATCTTTAGTGAAGCTTTGCCTAAGCACACGTGAATAGATTGAACATATTTTCTTACTGTATTAATGACTAGCTCCCTCCAAGTCATCTGCTTTCTGTACGTTTTAAAAACAGCTGAGGTTCAATTTAGATTTCTTCAGAACTTGAGTGGTTCAGCAAATTATTTCCTTTTCCACCAAAAGCATTCCCATCGATATCTGATTTTAAAAATAGTTTTGAAAAGTTTTGCCAGCTGATACTTTTAAAAAAATCATTTCCCCCCCTCTGTCCTTAAGATAATGATGAGCCTTCATTCTCCGTTTTTGATGCCCCTGGCTGTTTGCATCGTTAGTACCTTCCTGCTTCAGTGTCCCTTTCATAACACATAAGCTGGTGTTTCTGAAGCTTCCAGGTACTTCTCAGTCTCTGACCTCCCCCCCCTCCCCCCATGCTCAACTTACTCCTGGTTTTCTTGGCAGTTGATCAACGTTCATTGGAATCTGTTTGGGCACGATTCTTCCACGTGCCTGCCCTCCCTGTGCATTTTCACTGTTGTGGGGTCAAGTTTGTTTTCTTCTGCACATGCCTTCAATAATAAGGATTTTCAAGGGAAGGTGCTGTCATCATCAGTGATGTCATAGCAACCCCCCCATTTTTAAAAAGGCCCTAGATTGTCTGAATTCCCAGCTTTCATTTTTTAAAAAGTAAATCTCTACTTCGTTCCATCACTGAGATCCAAGGCAAATCTCCACAAAGAAAGCACCTAGAGACTTTTTTTTTTTTTAAAGGAAGCTGGGAATTCAGAGAACCTGCTTAAACTATCATTGCAACACTACAGTGATATATTGATATTTTAGGACTGTTTTGCTTTTTAAATAAAAACTAAAATTATTAATGTTCAGGGTGGGAGGGGGAGTGCTTTGACAATGATGACACGCCAGTGTTTGAAAAATGGGTGGGATAAAGAAGTCCGACAGAAACATTATGCATGAGGGAAAAGTCAACTCCAAATCAGCTTATATATATATAATACAGGGGTAAAAATGGTTTTAAAAGAACCAACCTCCCCCCAGGGAATAGCTTCTGGAACATCCTTATGTCAGTGCCTTTTCCCCAACCTTTTAATGCATGCTTATAGTAAATCTGTAGTAAGTACAGAATAAGGGTGAGGTGATGTGGAACAATATTGTATTGATTCAAAATTGTATCTGATTCAGAAGTCAATCGCAAGCCGGAACAGGCTCTCTGCAATGTTATATGTTGCTAGTTTACACGTAGCTGCTTTCAGTGGGGGCGTATTAGTCAAATTTTAAACATATTGAACTAGTTAGACCTTCAAAATAACTTGTCATTTTCTGTTTATGCTGCAGAGACTTGAGTCATAATCATTTGTTATCCTCCAACTGGAGCATTGGTTCTTCAGCTCAAGGACTACAAGAAGTGTAAGTTATTCTGAGCTCTCTGTCTTGTTATGTGCCAAGGGATTTTGTGGTGACAGTAATGTAACATCAGACAGTGATTAGCTGAGCTGCCCTAATGTCACAAAAGTATTAGATGTGCTTGGAAATTAATTCAAAAAAGGAGCCTTGGAAAGAGGACTGTAAGTTGGCAGAGGATATGATGGTCCAGAGGAAGGCTTCTGAGATAAAAAGAAAAACATGTAAATGGACTGACCAGGGAAACAATGTGTGTGGTCAGGCGCTGCAGTGATGAAGGAATGTAGTTCATATATTGACAGGAAATAACCAGCAAAATCTTTGGCTGTAGTCTTGTAATAATTATGTATAGTTTATATCCGGGTGGACATTGTGAATAACATCATCAGTTAAAGCAGGGGTCTGCAGCATGTGTCTCTAGAGGCAAATGTGGCTTAATATGGAACCATATATGACTCTTAATTAAAAAAATGAAATCTCTAAGGCAGTGGTACTCGCTCCATGACTGGCAGAGGGCCACATTCAGAATTATCATCAACCAAAAGAGCTGCATTTACTTCCCTCCCTAGCATGAGGCGTGCACCTCAGGGACGCTCACAGCTTGTCTTGTCCTCTGGTGGCATCTCTTTGAAGATCCCCACGACGCAAGGGCCTTGTCTACGTTTCAGCAACATGGGAGCAGGGGACAGCATTGGTGAATGGTGCTCAGAAGAGTCACAGGTGGCATGTCAAAGAGCCACATGTGGTTCTCAAGCCACTGAATAGCACTGCTCTGAGGTATAGTAGTGGGGTAGGTGAGATGCTGGATTAACCAGTATGTGAAGGAAATGGCTGACAAAGATTTTTATGGAACTGAAGGGCTTCTTAGAGATGCTTTAAGAAAGGAGATTACTGGCCACTGATCTCTTCTATCATTTCCAAGGGCAGATTTATACCAGTGCACTAAAGTATTGCAGAATGTTCTTATATTACTTATGGAGATCTCAGGGTTTAGGCTACAGAACCTTAATGGACTATTAACAGATCAGTGATCATGTTGTATAGTTTCAGTAAGCCACATTTATTTTTATTTATTTATTTTTTACAAAATATGTATTCCACCTTTCTGCCCTGACGATACATAATAAAACCACATTTTAAAATTCTTAATCACCCCCCCCCAAACATGCATCATTAAAAGAATTAAAAATAAAGTTTAAAAAACATAAAAACAGCAATTAAAACATTGGTTAGGAGGGAATTGGGTTTCTTGTACTGGTTTTTTGTTGATATCTTGCTTTGAGTTTTGCTGTAGTTTGGCTCTTTAATTATAAAAGGTTGCTGACCCCTGAGTTAAAGTGTCACTCTGTGTGTGTGTATAAACAGTTATGATCCAGTACTATGATACCCTACCAGTTGTAGCTGAGACTTTGTACTTTTTTTGCTTAATTTCCAGTTATAGGGCTGGAGCAGTAGCAGTGTTTAGATGGTTTTGGAAATGATTCTTGGTTAATTCAGACTTTAAGCATCAGGGGTAAAAAGTTTATAGATGAAGATTCCCAAATGTCTTTATGTAAAACAGGAGAAATCCAGTGTGGGAGATCATGTGCTCACCATGTAGATCATTTGTCATCTAAGTGAAAAATAAAGTAGGAGTTCAGTGGCTCCCTGAAGATGATCATAAGTTATTTCAGCATAAGTTTTCTCTCTTCATCAGATGCATTGTGAGTTCTGACTCACAAAAGCTTATGCTGGAATAAACATTATTAGTCTTCAGGGTTCCACACAACTGTTTTATTTTGCTAATGTAGACTGATACAGCTATCCATCTGGAATTATCATCGTGAAAGGCAATAAATTCAAATACTAATATTTTAGCTTCATCCTCAAGTTTTTTATATGAGCATCTTATCTTTACTGTTCCTTGTCTCAGTCATCTCTTGCTAGTTGAATTTCTCATCTAGGTAGAGATCATTAAAATAACTGGTATTGTTTATTTCTGTTACCTGTTTCTTTAGAATTTTGTGACTGTTCAGACTTCTGTTAGCTTTTGAGGAATATGCCAGCTTTGCTTCTGGCAGGTGTCATTTACTAAGCTGAAATATTCATTAAATACAATTGAAATGTTCTATATGTCTCATTGACTTTTTATGTTTTCATAGTGCTAGTAAAGAAACCTATTTTTCAGGAAGATAAATTACAACAAGCTAACTGAGAAATCTATTTTTCAGGAAGATGAATTACAACGAGCTAACTGACATTCCCTTTTTTGGTGAACTGACATCTAACATCACACTTCTCTCACTGTATGTAAATATTTTGCATTTTTTAAAATTCCATAGAGGTTAAATTACATAGGGAAAGTCTCCTTGTGAGAAAGCTGCTAAAGGAAACTGAAGTATGAATATTTGAAAACTACATGCAAGTCTTCATATGGATTATTAAATACCTCTGGCAGCACAAGAGAGATATCAGTTAGTAGTGGGTTGTGTTGCCTTAAATCAACTTCTGATGATTGATTTCTGTCATGCCATCAAGACAACAGTCCACATAGTTAGTGGGGAAGCCTATTCTGAAACTGCATTTCCTAAATGAAATAATTCTAACCCTGGACAGTTTTCAGTAGTCTCAACCATAGAATGGGGTTCAGTTTTCAACTTAGTTTTTAGAGCAATTACTATCAACATGAAATTAAAACAGGTTATTTTAGAGGACACATTATACGGCAACCTTTCTGAAGCTAAGTAGAATCTGGGTCTGATCAGTGCCTTCTAGGAATTCTCTGTAATCTGTCTTGAGCTCCATGATGGATGGGATGAAAATTATTAACTATAACACATGTTTTGTATGGTAGCACAAGAAAATGTAGTGTTAGCTCATGCAACTGAATCTCAGCAGTGATTAGTGATAGCATTTATGGTTCTTTCTCTTCTGTTTTTAGAGTACATAATAGAGTCTCAGAGATAATCCCTGAACAGCTTCAGCTTTATGTTTCCTTGGAGAACCTGGACTTGAGCTCTAACTTAATATCTGAAATCAAAGCCTCTTCATTCCCACGAATGCAGCTCAAGTATCTGTAAGTAGGAGGGTTTCCACGTTCCATCTGCAGTCCATTCTTAAGAATGCATGTGAATATTAGTTAAATGGTTATAAATGTGTTCTGATTCTAATGTAGGTGTCCCCAATCTTTTTGAGCCTGTGGGTATCTTTGACACAGGCTGGTGAGTACAACCACAAAATGGCTGCTGCAGGTAATAGAGCCAGTCACAAAATGGCTGCTATGAGAGACAGCGTCAACCACAAAATGTCAATCAATGAGGAAGCTTTGTCTTTTAAAAATGAGCATAGTGTTTAAAATATTTTCTTGCATAAAGCTCTGTCTTTAAAAATGAGCATAGTGTTTAAGATATTTTCTTGCATACATACTGTTTACCTTTAATCACACAGGTTCTTTGTGCTGTGGTGGCAGCTGCTGTCCAATTTCCAATAACCTTCATTGGCATAACGGCAGCTGCTGTAATTGCAACTTGTTAAAAATCTGCCCAGTCCGTCAGATCTGCAGTGGCCAGTCAGAAGCCTGGCTAGGTAACATCTCCACCTGGCCCCACCCCCTTTCTATAAACATTTGGGGTGCACCAGGAAAAATGTCAGTGGGTACCACGGCAATCACCAAGACCTTGTAAGCAGACATTAGGGCATTGGCACAGCTTACGCAGTACTGTGGTATGAACTAGAAATTTTCTTTTTTTCCTCCTGAGGAATTGGTCTGATTTAGGACATCTTATGCAATCATTCAGGCTTTTTAGAATATCATTGAAACTGCTAACATTCACTTCTGTCAGTAGGCAAAGGTTCAGGATCCTTGCTTAAGGGCCATTTAGCAGACTGTGGGCACGCACTCACTTGCATTTCTTTTTAATTGCCTGATCAGGCCTTTCCACAGCTACTGAGGATCAGTGAAATAACCTGTGATAACTGTTCTGTGTTCTGAAACTGAACTTTCCTTGAGGCAAGGAAAAAAGCAGTGAAACCAAATTTAATTGGCTTCTTTTAAGTTCTTTTGTAATTTGTCAAATACAAATTTAGCACTTGAAGATTATTATTTTTTTTAAAAAAAGCCTTCTGTTACAGGAATCTGAGCAACAATAGGATAACAACTTTGGAAGCCAGCTGCTTTGATAATATATCCAGCTCACTCATCATCGTAAAACTAAACAGAAACCGAATCAGCATGATTCCATCAAAGACTTTCAGGCTGCCTCATGTGCAACTCTTGTAAGTGGCAATACCCCATGAATATTATGAGCCTTGATGCTGAATACATCGATTACAGACAGCATGAGGGTTGATGTAATATTTGTATCAGCAGACCAAGAAAGGGAGCTTTCATTGAGCCAACTAGTAGTGTAGAAACACAATGAGAGCAGTGTTTTACATACCCAGAGCTGCTCTTCAGGTAGAGGTATTCTGAGCATTCCCTTCAAAAAAATGTCATATGAACAGGCTTATGATAAATTGTTTGAGTTGAATAATCTTTTAAACCAAGGTATAAATAGATTCAAATGAAAACCCCCATATTGATTATTTTCACCAGTATGACTTTTGTAGTTTAAGCATTCTACCGAAGACAGCGGTGCAAGAACCCTTAGGAAGAACATATAAAGTTTGGCAAGACTTCCCTGTCTTCAGTACTAGTTGCACCTCACAAGATTCTTATGATGAAAAAGCAGTTAGGGCTGGTCACACTAAAATATAGAATCATTTGAGCTTGAATATATGGTATTACATGTTCATCAGAGATTTATATTGTGCTATCTCTGAAAAGTTAATCTTTCAGTAGGGTAAAGGTCTTTGATGTCAGTCTTGTCTTGTCTTTGTTCAGTTGTTGAATAACTAATTATGATGCCCTTCACATTAGGTCAGAATTGTAATAATATTGGTCCCTTAGAAGAAGCAGCATACAGGAAATATTATCAATCTCTTGGTTAAACCAACTGGTGTTAAAATGGTGTTGGTATTTTTTTTAAGGGAACTCAAAAGGAACCGGATTAAAGTAATCGAGAGCCTTACTTTCCAAGGTTTGGACTCCTTAAAGTCATTAAAACTGCATCGCAATGGGATTAGTAGGCTGATGGATGGTGCTTTATTTGGATTGGATAATATGGAAGAACTGTAAGTACTTATTGTTTTGATCTCCTCATTAGAGATCCTGGGTGGTACAGTGCTTCAGAGACAGATGAAATTGAGTTGTATGATAAGTACTAGGAATAAGGCTCGTTGTGGAAATAAATACAACGAGCTCTAGAAAGAGGCTCTGGGAGAGTGCCAAGGCCTTGGACAGTCAGCTTCAATTTGCTGTGGTGACCTCAGCAGGGTATAATGACATAGAGGCCACCATTTTCTCCAGAGGAACTGATCTCTGCTACCTGAAGAGCAGTTGTAATTTTGAGTGATCTCCATCCCTCACCTGGAGATTGGGAACAATTGTTACCCAGGAGGAAATGGCTGGTTTGGGGGGTGGAGTCTATGGCAGTTTACCTGTCTGAGGTCCAACCCCTCCTCAAACCTCACTCTCTCCAGGCTCCACCCCTCAAATCCCCAGGAATGTCCCAAACTGGAGTTGGCAACCCCATCTCCTTCCCAGCTAACCATCAATGTACCGTTATCTGCCCCTCTGAGTGCAGCTGCCTTCCACCATCCCTCCTGGAGATCAGTAATAATTCTGAGTGATCTCCACCCCTCACCTGGAGATTGGCAGCAATGGTTTCCCTGGAGGAAATGGGTGGTTGGGAGGGTGGGATTGATGGCATTGTACCTGTCTGAGGTCTGACCCCTCCTCAAACCTCACCCTCTGCAGGCTCCACCCCTCAAATCTCCAGGAAACTCCCAACCTGGAGTTGGCAACTCTATCTCCTTCCCAGGCAAGCATCAACCTGCCATTATCTGCCCCTGATTTCAGCTTTCCTTCTCCTGCTCCCTGCCTCCTGGAGATCAGTTGTAATGCTGAGTGATCTCTAAGCCCCACTTGGACATTGGCAACAATGGTTCCTCAGGAGGGAATGGTTGGTTGGGAGGGTGGAGTCTATTGCATTGTACCTGTCTGAGGTCCCACCCCTCATCAAACCTCACCCTCTCCAGGTTGAAGGATCACCGACCCCAGAAAACT